CTTTACTTTTTCTTTTTTTCTAGTCTACTTTGTTAACCTCTCTGTCCAAGAAACCCCCTTTTTGTCGTACAATAAATCACAAAGTTTTTAAGTAAATTGACGAAGGCTACGCTTAATTTTTTTCAAATAGAATTTCCACGTTTATTTGCACCTTGTTTGTCTCTGGATGGGCTTTACTTTTTTTTATTTTCTAGTCTACTTTGTTAACCTCTCTGTCCAAGAAACCCCCTTTTTTGTCGTACAATAAATCACAAAGATTTTAAGTAAATCGAAGATAGCCATGCTTGATGTTTTTCTAATAGATTTTCCACTGTTTATTTGCACCTTGTTTGTCTCTGGATGGGCTTTACTTTTTCTTTATTTTCTAGTCTACTTTGTTAACCTCCCTGTCCAAGAAACCCCCTTTTTTGTCGTACAATAAATCACAAACTTTTTAAGTAAATTGAAAAAGGCCATGCTTGATTTTTTTCTAATAGAATTTCCACTTTTATTGCCACTTGTTTGTCTCTGGATGGGCTTTACTTTTTCTTTATTTTTCATAATACTTTGTTAACCTCTCTGTCCAAGAAACTCTTTCCTTGTCATACAACAAATCACAAAGTTTTAGAGTAAAATGAAGGAGGCCATGCTTGATTTTTTTCTAATAGAATTTCCACGTTTATTTGCACCTTGTTTGTCTCTGGATTGGCTTTACTTTTTTTTTCTAGACTACTTTGTTAACCTCTCTGTCCAAGAAACTCTTTCCTTGTGATACAACAAATCACAAAGTTTTTAAGTAAATTGACGAAGGCTACGCTTAATTTTTTTCAAATAGAATTTCCACGTTTATTTGCACCTTGTTTGTCTCTGGATGGGCTTTACTTTTTCTTTATTTTCTAGTCTACTTTGTTAACCTCTCTGTCCAAGAAACCACCTTTTTCTCGTACAATAAATCACAAAGTTTTTTAGTAAATTGAAAAAGGCCATGCTTGATTTTTTTCTAATAGAACTTCCACTTTTATTGGCACCTTGTTTGTCTCTGGATGGGCTTTACTTTTTCTTTTTTTTCTAGTCTACTTTGTTAACCTCTCTGTCCAAGAAACCCCCTTTTTTGTCGTACAATAAATCACAAAGTTTTTAAGTAAATTGAAAGAGGCCATGCTTGATTTTTTTCTAATAGAACTTCTAATTTTATTGGCACCTTGTTTGTCTCTGGATGGGCTTTACTTTTTCTTTTTTTCTAGTCTACTTTGTTAACCTCTCTGTCCAAGAAACCCCCTTTTTTGTCGTACAATAAATCACAAACTTTTTAAGTAAATTGAAAAAGGCCATGCTTGATTTTTTTCTAATAGAATTTCCACTTTTATTGCCCCCTTGTTTGTCTCTGGATGGGCTTTACTTTTTCTTTATTTTTCATAATACTTTGTTAACCTCTCTGTCCAAGAAACTCTTTCCTTGTCATACAACAAATCACAAAGTTTTAGAGTAAATTGAAAAAGGCCATGCTTGATTTTTTTCTAATAGAACTTCCACTTTTATTGGCACCTTGTTTGTCTCTGGATGGGCTTTACTTTTTCTTTATTTTTCAGTCTACTTTGTTAACCTCTCTGTCCAAGAAACCCCCTTTTTGTCGTACAATAAATCACAAAGTTTTTAAGTAAATTGAAAAAGGCCATGCTTGATTTTTTTCTAATAGAATTTCCACTTTTATTGGCACCTTGTTTGTCTCTGGATGGGCTTTACTTTTTTTTTCTAGACTACTTTGTTAACCTCTCTGTCCAAGAAATGTCATACAACAAATCACAAAGTTTTTAGTAAATTGAAAAGGTCTTATTTTTTTCAAATAGAATTTCGTTTATTTGCACCTTGTTTCTCTCTGATGGGCTTTACTTTTTTTTATTTTTTAAATACTTTGTTAACTCTCTGTCCAAGAAACCCCCTTTTTTGTCGTACAATAAATCACAAAGTTTTTAGTAAATTGAAAAAGGCCATGCTTGATTTTTTTCTAATAGATTTTCCACGTTTATTTCGCACCTTGTTTGTCTCTGGATGGGCTTTACTTTTTCTTTATTTTTCTAACTACTTTGTTAACCTCTCTGTCCAAGAAACCCCCCTTTTGTCGTACAATAAATCACAAAGTTTTTAAGTAAATTGAAAAAGGCCATGCTTGATTTTTTTCTAATAGATTTTCCACGTTTATTTGCACCTTGTTTGTCTCTGGATGGGCTTTACTTTTTCTTTATTTTCTAGACTACTTTGTTAACCTCTCTGTCCAAGAAACCACCTTTTTGTCGTACAATAAATCACAAAGTTTTTTAGTAAATTGAAAAAGGCCATGCTTGATTTTTTTCTAATAGATTTTCCACGTTTATTTGCACCTTGTTTGTCTCTGGATTGGCTTTAGTTTTTTTTTTAAGAATACTCTGTTATTTTTTTCTTTTTTTCACTAATATATTTTCCCCGTTTTTTGCACTCTGCATCTCTTGATTAGGTTTTTTTTTAATAAATCGTTTGTAAAATTCTTTGTGCAATAAACTCCTCTTTTCTCAGAATGAAGTTTTCGCTAACTCTTCTCTATTTGTGAAAAGAAACATCGAAAACTTAGAAGGAAAAACTATACCGAAAACTTAGGTTTTCCGTATGGTTTTTATTTTTCATTTTTAAAGCCATTTAATGGATCTTGATTTCATGTCAAAAGAGTCATTTTTTTATTACTGTTTACTGTGTATCTTATTTTAATTTTGTTGTTTATATAAGTACCTTATGATACTTGATACAAATCAGTGACTCCTATTCCCCATACCTAATGTTTATGTGCTGATTGTTCCCGAAACTTCTCTATTCATTCTGGAACGGCACTATTGAATCTCAAACAAAAGCGATTCACACCTTTAAGTAAGCGTGGCAAGTTTTTTATAAACAACCCAGGTTGCTTGAAGACAATTTCTGCTATCGACGTATTTAACGGATTATTAACAACTTTCCGATGTAAGTGAGATTAATTACCCGTATATGATATTTGTATTTAAATATTCGAAACCCTTATATGAAATGCAGTCGTTTTGTCTCTGTTTTAATTGCCACGTTATTGAAACACTGCACTTCAAAACCCGAGCAGAAACGCTGATTCTCTTTGGCATAAATCAATAAATACACATTAAATCTCCCTAAATTTATCTTAAATAATTTATAGACATATTTTCATATGTCGTCTTACTGCCAGCCGAAGTTTTCTAGTGTTTAGCAAACACGTTTGTCAAGGATCACGCACAGGGTATCCGTCTAGGGCAAATATTTTTTCAAAAACATAAGGTTCACACATATTTAAGTCTTTCTCATATTTTATTTGCCAGCTATGGAAGATTTCATCTGCTCGGATCGCCTTTAGCAAAGAACTTCGGCTCTTCAAATCACGCGAACTTCGAGAGAAGCATTTATGAACTTACGAACGATTTTATATTTAAACAGACTAAAGGACATATATTATCTTGTAGAGTTGGACACTTGTTTTATAATCGATGTAGTTGGATCTTCGAAGTATTTTTCTTGTAATTCTTATCGGCAATTAATCGTGTAGAGTGACTGTGTAGCTTTGTTTTGATATGAAAGAACTGCCCGACCCTTCCATTTACCTGTTTTCTTTGATGTTCGACTATCCGATATTGCAAGCATTCTGCCCCTCATCTGCCGATCCACAAAAATTTTTCTTTATTTTAATAGTTTTCAAGTTTGTACGATACTTCAGATATGCCCTTTTAGCAAAGATTAAGCCCCAATTGTACATCTTCTTAATTCTTTAAGTTATCGTCAATATCTCTACCTAAATCATTTTGCAATGATTTGTATCCATGGTCGTTTTCCCAATTATATTATTCATGTTAGCTGAAATTGTATTAAAATTAACACCGTTCGTTCATCTCTTTTACTCCGTTCTAATCGTTTGAATTTACCCCCTATTTTCTATAGAATTTTACGTTATTCTATTGAATTTACCTTCGATTTTCTCTTGTATGTTTCCTAACAGCCGTTGATATTATCCCCGATTTTCTATTGTATTTAACCTTAGCTACTGTTCAATAGACCCCCGATTTTCCATTGTATTTTACCTTAGCTACTGTTCAATTGACCCCCGATTTTCCATTGTATTTTACCTTAGCTACTGTTCAGTTGACCCCCGATTTTCTATTGTATTTTACCTTGGATACTGTTCAATTGACCCCCGATTTTCCATTGTATTTTTTACCTTAGCTACTGTTCAATTGACCCCCGATTTTCTATTGTATTTTACCTTAGATACTGTTCAATTGACCCCCGATTTTCTATTGTATTTTACCTTGGATACTGTTCAATTGACCCCCGATTTTCTATTGTATTTTACCTTAGATACTGTTCAATTGACCCCCGATTTTCTATTGTATTTACCTTAGATACTGTTCAATTGACCCCCGATTTTCTATTGTAATTCACCTTTAATTCTATTGAATGTACCCCCGACTTCCTATAATTTTGATTGTGTTCATGACAAAGTGATTCGTTTTTATTCGTTTGTACAATCTTTGACACTTAGTAAAGATTTCAATGGAAGTCTCCAATAATTACAATGGGAATTCAAAAGATGTTCCCCCGGATTTCTATTGAAAACTCTTTTGAAATTGGGATAAGAGTTTCAAAGTTTCTGGTGGGAAAGTCCCCCGGTTTTTCATTGTCTTCAGCCAAAAATCTTGGCCGCGACCAGTGGCTGAACTTAAGGCGGCTCGGAGCCGCAAATGATTGACAGCCCATTGTTATCAACCAATCAAATTGCTCCATTTCAGCCCTTTTGGTGGCTGCGGGCGGGAGCCGTCACCTACAAATATACCAATTTTAAGGTAGCCCTTGGCCGCGGAGGGCCACCATTGTTTATTAGCCAATCAGATTACGCCATTTTTACCCGCTCCATTGTATTTTCGACCAATCAGAGTTCATTATTTCAATCAATGTTTTGTTTATTGACCAATCAGAGTACGTTATTTCGGTATTGTTTTTTCCTTTGTTTAGTAGCCAATCAGATGCCTCTATTTTGCCCGCCTGGCCTCGTTTCCGTTTTACAGAAAGACGGGGGTTCAGTAGCCTCGTTTGCAGCAGTAGAAAGACGGGGGGTTGAAAACAATTCAGTTCGATTTTCTCCACTTCATTCAAGCGATCTTACTCTACGTACAATTTAATGTCTACTCTATTTGCCGAGGAGACTGTTTTCAGTCGGGGTTTGTCTTAGCATGGTGTTTTAAGCAAAGGGTTAACAAGAGGAAAAAGAAGTTCCCCTTGTTAACCCTCTGATTAAAACACCGTGCTAAGAGGCCCCTTTCAATGTTGAGTTAGGGGTTATGTAAACATGGCGTTTTAAGCAAAGGGTTAACAAGAAGGGGAAGGCCTTCTTGATAACTCTCCGATTAAAACACCGTGCCATAACCCCTAACTCAACACGGAAAACAGTCTCCTAAGCATACTACAAACTAATTACAAAATATTAAACTACAATAACAAGATAAATACGTAATAACGAAATGGTTTATCCTAAAAACAGACGTGAACAGGCGCCTTGCTCAGACCCATCCTTAGAATAAACACTTAAACTCTAACTTAAACGTAAGATAAAAGTAGTACTTCCTCGTAAAATCCTAGTTCTGTACAAGGGAAAGGAAGGTTATCAGCGATAAAAGATGTTAAACTATTAAGGTCCTTATTTGTTTCTCCTGGTATCTAACAATTTATCAGGGGAATCATCAGGGAATCCTTAAAGCAATAAGGGAACATAGCAAGGGAATGCAAAGGCAATTTCTATCTTAGATTTCTAGCAAAGGCAAATTGTAGTATCCTTATGATTAAAATGGACGATCGTTACCTGGTGATGATAAACACTGTTGGTTGGAGTAAACTGTTAAAAATTATCAGGGCTTTATCGACAAACTATCCTCAAGATTGTGCAATAAGATTGGCGTGGCGATCTCAAGCGGGGCTTCGATACTATCCAACTTAGCGAGGAAATACCGGTCCAAAATTAATGCCATCTACCATAATAATATGTTGCAATTTCAAGTCCAAATTCTACTAATTGTTCGTAAATCTTCATTTTATTGGCTTCATCTTCTTGTCTTGTATTCTAGACAGCTTTAACTTGCAATAAGTTTTTCCGCTCGAGTCACCTGAAAGAGTGATACAAAAGCCAGGAATATTGAAACAACTGATCCGCTAATGATAAACAAATGACTCAAAGTTTGTATCAATAATCCATTCCTCGTTTAAAAAATATTACTTCAAATCATTTGACTGTTTTGTTTGTAAACCCTTCTAGCGACGAAACCAACCAAGCTTGTCGTTACTTGATTTTGCCCTTAGGTTAAATTAACAAAAGAAAAGTGGCATTGCGTGCCGATTTTATTTGGCATTGCTCAAGAGACCCTTGAGATCCATGCCAGATAACTTTTGCCCTCAAGCCCAGTAAAAACGCCCCTTACAAACTATGACATTGATGTTCTTTCAAATTCAATTCTAATCAGTTTAAGAAACAATAAATATGACACCTATCAGTTCGTTCATCCACAAGTTCTATGGCATTTGGTCATTGTCAATTGACTAATAACATCCCTTTTGAGATCTCCATTTTGAGACATTCCTATTGGGACCTCGCCTGCACGTGTTATTCTCTTGGGAATTTTTTAGATGCTTAACGATGCTGGCCTGTTGTGTTGTTTTACATGGCAGTAAAATTTCAAAGTCATTCAAACACAAAAATATTTTAGCAAAAAAGTGTCAAATTGCGTCTTATATATCAATCTTCAGCTTTAGGTATCTTAAGTATGCTTCCTTCACACCAAGTTTCATAGCAGGTGATTAGCTTTTTTTCTCAAAATAAAGTGAGAAGAGCTTCTTACTAAGAATGATTTCAATTAATCTCCAAAACACTTTATCTGTAAAACATTTTTCGGTATCTCTAATTTAAAAAAAGCTGTTTTTGACTATCAAATATTAGCAAAATACCTCAAATGTAAACAAACAAACGGTATCAAAAAGTTTTACAAGAAAAGGTATCTTGCAGCATATTGACCTTTGCTTTCACTAGTAGTTCCCCATATCATAAAAACTACCATCCTCCCAACAACCAAGAGCCTAAACAACCAACCAACCATCTCAAAACCACATACTCTCGCAACTGCGAAACCTCAAAACCACAAACCAGTGAAAGCAAAGATGCAAATGGCTGCAAAATCTTGTCCCGGAAAATCTCTTCCTTGAAAGTTCATTCTATGCTTAATGAAAGCTTCTATATCCAGAAAACATGCCTAAGTTTGTGGGAATATACACAAGACTTTACTTGTTTATTTTAAAATATTACTTTGAAGTAAATCGTGCCATAAAATGCTTGAAATTCCCTTTCTGGGAACTCCAAACCTAACATTAATGAAAAAAATCTTCTATTACTTCATGAATCTTGATGTATCTAAACTTAATTGTCGGTATTTACATGCTTTTATTATTCAAAATTTCCCAAAAAGCCTTTCTTCCGGCGTCATAGTCGTGAAATATATTAAGAAAGAAAACAGCTTAATTCTCGGAAAAACAGTTTCAAGTCTTAACTTAGTTTGATGCGACGCATTTCATTAATTCATCATATCCTTTTGTGTAGTTTCTTGTTTGGCGTGTCTATTTAGGTCCAAAAATTGGATGATAATTAATGCTTCGGTCTAAATAATGTGAAGAAGTGATGACAAAGACTTTTAACAATTCTAGGTTGAAATTATCGAGATTCAAGTTTCCATGCAAAAAGTCTTTTGAAATTTTGATTTGGATAGCTTAGAGGTATGACTTTGGCTAAAATTTATCGTTTTGTCAAATACCAATTAAAATAAAAAATCTCTTCAAACCATACATGAATTTTCATAGCTAAGAAATGTCACCTTAGTCAGTTTGAAATTGTCTATTATAAAGGTCCCGTTTGGGACCAGGTATAACCTTTTTTATGCAAGTATTAATTATTTTTCATCACGAAGAAAGGGCCTAAAAGTAAATTTGTTTCCTTTGTATTTCATGAGATAATTAGTCATGAAGGACAAACAGCAAGAAAATGCTTTCAATTTTTACTCGAAATCTTACTAGTGTCATGCTGATATTGAGCAAATAGGCAGAAAATTATGCGAGTTTCGTTTGAGAGCTTTGTTGGCTGTGCGACACAAACATTCTTTTGAACTACACGTATTCATTTTATAAGAAACAGATTTTAAGAAATAGACCCCGAAGATAACCCAAAATTAACAAACCTTAGTATTGATCATTCTCAATCTTAAGAACTGTTTGAAAATGATTCTTTGAATAAATGTAAAGATAGAATGGAAACGATTCCTTAGAAAATTAGGTGCCTGTTTTTGCTCAAATTAACAAAGATGATAGCCAGGGTCAAATCTTTGCGTCCGATAAAGTGTCCTGGCTTGTTTTACGTGATATTTTGTCACCCTGTGTTAACTTTGTATTTAAAAAATACTGCTTTGGCCCTTTGGTACTCAGAAGTCTTTACGAAACTTTCAGAACTAATATGAACAAAATGAAGAAATTGAGCCTAAATCTGAACTAATTTTTTTTAACAAATGCACGAGTTTGGCATGCACGGTTTCAGCCCAAACGCAAGCCCACGAAATGCTATAAAATGAAGCGCGCTCACCGTAGATTGACATTTGCAACAGGTCCAGAGCCAAACCAATAGCCAACTTTCATCTTCTAAAAAAAGATGAAAAAATTATTGCAAGTATAACAAATAAATTAACATGCATAACTCCTTTTAAGTATTTTTGTAGGTATTTTTCAATAGTCTATATTTCCTGGACATGTTTTAGACCAACAAATTTGTTTAACAATTCTATAAATGCATGGTATTGTTTCAAATTAAAAATACTGTAAAAATGGAAGTTTAAAAGAAATACAACTAAAAACTAGCTGGGGAAATATAAATTTTAAGCTGCATTAAAAGCTAGTTGCTCTAAATTATTGGATTGACTTATTGAAAGCATAAAACGATGAAGACGCAAACAAATTTAAAATAATTTACTAGATTATTTAGCAACTCTACAAACATCAGTTATTTCTATTAATTTTAATTTCTGAGGATATCAAGCAAATCCAAATTTTGGGCAAAAAAAGTAAAAGGAAGAGTAGTGAAATCTGCATTATTCAAGGGATTTGATTATGTACATATAAAGTATTTTGCTCTGTTTTTAAGAACTTTGATGAGAGGCAATTAGTATTCTGTTGAAAAACTGCATTGAGGAGTTAGACACTAAGAGTATGGTTTGAAGGTTAAATCTAAACAACTAGACTCTTATCAAATTAGAGATTTATTTTTTGTCAATTGAATGTGAAAGGTAAAGACATTTTTGGATTGAAAGCTTTTCAAAAAAACCAACAAAAATGAAACTTATATCCCAATTATAACGACTGTAGTCTAAAATGAATTATTAGTAATGATTGTATAATGAATTTATTGCGGAACACAATGGATGCAAATATTTCAAAATTGTATTAAGAAGTTTTGTCTTAAGAGTTTTGTCTTAAGAAGCTCAACACATGTAGATCCTTACCCAAGCTTTGCTGTAAATATAATCCAAAAACTGCCTGAAATGAAAATATGTAAAAATTTCTTAGCACAATATGATTAGAAAAATAAAGTTTTTATGATTTTATTTCTGTGTATTTTATATTTATAGTCATTATCGAAACAGTAGAGAAAAAAAGGTTTTATGCATTATAACATTTGTAACATCCATTATTTAATATTTGTTACTCAAGGAAATTTTATTTTTCTACAAGTGTTGACTTAGTCTTATTTATACAGAAATATTTACTCACCACATTTCCCTCCTTGGACTTCAATTTACATTATTTTTACCGCCAATTCACAGAAACTGAAATGCAAGACATCTTAACAGGCTAAATTAAAAAAAATTAAAGACTTTGAAGTCTGGTACAGACGGTACTGTAATTTATCTTATGTGTTCTCAGTGGTGCAAAGCCTGAAATGAAAAATAAAAACTATTAAGTTTATTGTCAAATGCAGTAAATATTGCTTTTAAATTCTGTTTCTCATGAGATTTTGATTTGAATATCAACATGCACCGTGTCTAGTTTCATCGTATGATTTTATTTTGTGGCTAAAAGACATTTTATGAGTATTGAAGAGAATGACTATTAAAGACTATGAGTTCAGGAAAGAAAACCATAGAAAGAGTATCAAAAGAGACGAATACTAAATTGGACACTAATGAGTTAATAATTAAACGACTATCAAGATTTTCAAAGAAGATTAATAGCGATAAAAATATCTAAGCTTACCATGAACTCCAAGCCAGCAAACAAGAGAGTTTTTTGTCTTGTTCCTTGACTTTTGTCTTGTTCTTTTCTTAGGCATAAAGCTAAGGGAACTACTGATTAAATATAGAAAACAAAAGTCGAAAGTAAACAAGACCAAACATAAATCCAACTTGCACATGATATATGATTGTGTTTTGGCTTTGAACACTTTCACAATAAATATTTTATTTAAAGCAGCAAAGAATAAACTGGATAAAGGTAAAATTACCTACCATTGTTGAAATCTAGATTGCCAACAACTTGGTTCCAATGATAATTTCAAACCACCTGAGGCATAGGACTGTTACATTTCTTAAATGTTATCTTTCAATCTAAAGAATTAGAAAATGATCACAAATAGTTATCAAATCTGAAGAGATGAGCAGCATTCCTGGAAAAGAAAGAAAAATCTTTCAGTCATGAAGATGTTTAGGCCTAAAAATTTAAATCTATTTATCAAGAAATAAAATGAACCAAACCTTTATGTAAACTTGCCTTCGAATCAGCTGTTTGGTCTAGAAGTTTCTATAATCATCAAGAATGGAATATAATTCTCTTTCAACCTTTAAAAATATAAAAAATGATTGCAATTTATTGATGCAAAGCGTGAAATTATAGATGTATAATAACTGGAAATTGCCTGTATCGCGGTACATTCACGAAAACTTAAGGAATGGTTGAAAAAAGATAAAACTGTTTTTGGCAGCGTGATTGAGATTGATGTGTAAACTGTAGTTAACCAGATGTTTTTAAAGAATAAACTTAGTTCGAAATTTATCGAAGCATTTCGTTCTCTATATGAATTACAGAAACTTCAAATTACAAAGTATTTGCAATGTCTTCCACAATTCTTTAATTGACAGGGCCAGATTGAAAACAGTATCAAGAAAGATAAAATAGAAATGAAAGATGGACTGGGAAATAATAGAAAAACTCACCAAAGAAAAGCAGTGTCCATCCATCCTTGTTTATTAAATAAGTGAACTATGCGAAGCTGTAAAAAATGTGGAAGATTAAATTTATCTTTTTAGGAGTCTAAAGAAATCATTCAAGGTTTAACATCTTGCAGCAAGTGTTAAAGTTGCAAACAGGGTCTTTTCGAAGAATGAAGAAACAGAATTGTGGTATCTCAAGATATTTGAAATTTTAGCATAACTCTTTGGAAGTAGTTACTGGTTATTTATACGATGGATGGGATTGATGAGAAATATATTAGAAACAATGTCATAATTTCAGTCAACTTCGTGGCCTAATCCATATCAGAAACATAAATGCTAACAACGCTTTCAAAGTTCTAAAGTTTTTTTCAATGATATCACAATAAGACTATGTAATATTTCATATTTTGGCAATACTATTATCAATTACCTCGAGATAAATCTGCAAAAAGTTTAAGAGGCTCACCGTATTCAAATTCTACTTTTTCCAAAAAGGCTTTCTTTCTGAAACTGAAAACTAGAATCAAATTTTGTTAAGATAAATACATTAATTATTTCAACCTACTTAAACAAACATTTAAGGCTTATCATTTAAAACTTAACGTTGCTTCTCAAAAGGCTTTATATATCATTTTACAGTATTTTCATCCTCAATTTATAGAGTAGAAATATAATGACTTTGTTGCCAACTGATGCAATTAAACATTTGATACTTTCAAGGAATGGAATACTCACCTAAGTAAAATTTCAGCAGATAAACCACTTTGACTTGATGATAATCTTAAAAAAGAGAATTCTCTTATTTACACATATAAAACATATGAAGTAAAAACGATTTTTTGAAATAGATTTTTAATAGTGATAACAATGTCTTAGCGTACCGAGAAATTGAAGTCAGCAAGCAAGTGGTTTTTCATCTAGTTTCTTGACTTGAAAACATTTTTGGCCTAAAGATAATAAAACTACTGATAACATTAAGCAAACAGAGTATTAAAGAAACAAAAGTCAGACATAAATCTAGCTAGCATATATTACATTTGTCTGTTTCGGCTAGAAATGTTTTCATGGCAAATCTTTCATTTGAAGGTGTAAAAACACAAGCTGGATGAAATCAAGTTACCTACTGATTTTGAATTCTGGTTTTCCAACCACTGGGCATCAATGAAAAATTTTAACAGCCTGAAGACTGCTTAATCTCTTAGATGGTATCTGTAATTCTAAAAGGTTAGAAAATGATCATAGTTGCTTTAAATTCCAAAAGATAAGCAGGATTCCTGGAAAAGAAAGAAAAAGCTGTTAGTCAAGCAGAAATACGACTTTTTTCCTAATGAGTTGACATTTCAATCTTGAAAAATACAATTTAGCAATGGCCTTAGGAGAACTTACCTTCAAATCAGCAACTCTGGGTCAAAATTTCTGTAATCATCAACAAACATGAAATAGAATTTTCTCTCAACCTAAAATATTTAAAAACATTGATAATGTTATACAGATGAGAAAGGTGAAATTATAGAAATAAATACTGAGATATTTAACCTAGAAAGGAAAATTGTCTGCATTGCGGTACCAAAGCTTGAGTCGCAATTCATTCGAAAACTATAGTTACCAGGATGTTTTAATTAAGTATTGAGTATTATTAAGATTTATTTCATTCGAAGCATTTCTATTGCTTTCAAGCCTGCAAAATATAAAATTTACAGCACTTTTGCCATTCATAACCAGCATTTTTCAAACGGTAAAGTCAGGCTAAAAAGTTTTATCAAAAAACTAAAAATATATGAAAGATAGATATGATCGTAAAACTTACCATTGTATAGCAAACGCCAGCCATCTTTGTCAATTTTCAATAAATACAATATGCGAAGCTGCAAAGAAATTTGAGAATGCTTTAAAAAAGTTTCAAAAATGCAGAAAAAGTTAATTAATGTTTTCTAGGCATCTAAAGAAATAATTCGAGGCTCTTATAACTTTGCAGCTAATTTAAGATATGCAATCTTTTTCAGAACAAAAAAATGGCATTTTAAATTTTATGGACCTTAGCAAGTTGTTTAAGAAAAATTGCTAACTATTTTGAAATAGATACTGCTTAGATTTATCTGAGATAATTGTCGTCTGAGTGGGTTGTGACTTTATTTGTCTGAGTGTATAATTTAACAACCAAACCCACCACAAGTGTCATGTCATAACCTCAGTCCACCTCATGATTCACATTACGACAATTATTGGTAACAATCTTCTAATATTTCGATTTTTTATTCCATGTTTTGTTCCATGATATCACAATTAGACAGTGTAGTTTAATTTTTTGCCAATGCTATGATATCGTTTACCGAGGTACTTCTGCAATGAAATTTCGAAAGGCTCACCATATTTACATGTAATGAATTCCAAATATGATTTCTTTCTGAAACTAAAAACTAGAAGAAAATTCCGTTGAGACAAACTCAATCAATGAAAAAATTAAAACACATCAGTGCAATCTCATTGCAGGATAAGAAGACGATTTAAAGATAATTCGAAATAATTTAAAGTTGAAAACCAAACCTGAAAAAGAAAAAGATAAAAATTTAAAAGAGATCAATCATTTAAGCCTACAAAGGCTTGACATTTAAACTTTAACGCTGTTTTATCAAAACTGTTAATATATCATTTTGTAATCGTTTCATCCTCCATTACCAGAGCAGAACTCAAATGACTTCGTAGAAAACAGATACTATTAAAGCCTATATTCTGTCATTAAATCAGTTTCGAGTTTTAAAAAACCTCCAGCTAAAAGATTTGAATATTGACAGTTGTAAAAATTCACGAAAAGAATCATCTATATTTTGAATACGTTGCCTAATCAAATGGGAGATTTTTCTTATCTCGAGAATGGTAAAAATGATACTAATTTTATTTTATTTTATGTTGAATACGTCATAAGATGTTTAAAGGTAGAACAGATAATGTTGACAAATCGTGATTGTGATATAAATTGGCCATGTAAAATTGCAAAATGTTTCAATGGATTTATCTTCAAAATGTTACTGTTATTGTTACTATAGTTGATGATAGCTTGAAAAATGTGTAAAAGTCTGGAAATTTTATTCAGAAGTATCGGCTGTTTATGCAGACCATCAGTTTAGAAATAGGATATGTTTGCATGACAAAGTGCAGAAAAAGGATTACAATTTTCTTCCGAACGTCAAGAAAATAAACATTTTGGTTAACATGTTGCTGTTATTTTTATAATGAAAACTTATGTATTTTTTTGTCTAGATGATTATAAAATTCTGCAGAATTTAATTGTACCCTTAGATGGCTGGAAGAGTTTTGTGAGAGAACAAACCACACCCCAACATCAACAACAGACCACGCGACCAACCAAACCTCGCTGAACCAATCAAATCTCAGATACGATCAACCAATTAACCAAACCCACCAGCCAACTCCAACAACCTCAATCTTTCTCTCAAAACATATCCAGCGAATCCAAGAGCTACAAAAATATTCGCTTTTTCTATAATCTTTCTATACTTTTTTAGAGCGCTATTGAAAAATGTGTTGTGATGAGAATTCACAGTTTTTAAACTATGCCATCTAAGCCGAAACATTTTGTGAATTGAAAGCATAAATCTCTTTTTATTAGTTTCTCAAATTCACTTTTCTTTTTTTCTTAGAAAATAGCCCAGTTTTCAACTGATGCTGGTATAAAATATGCATTTGATTCCACCTCAGAATTTTGCTGATATTTTCTGATTCAAAATTTGTTAAAGTTTCTCACAAAAAGGATAGCAGTTTCAATTGCATTGTTCTTTTTGATAAACTTTTTAAATCACGAACAAAAATGTACGGAAGCAAAATGTATTCTTGTCATTTTGAATATTTAAGGTAGTTATTTTCAAAAATATTTATAAACTTTGAGAAAGAAACAGCTTGCAGCATTTTGTAATTCATTCAAGGCAAATCCGTTTGATATAATATGCTTAAACTTCTTGCTTTTTCGCGACATAGAAATGTTTTTATTGACTTCAATATTGAGGAAAAGAGAGAAAATTTCTTTTGGAAGAAAATTTTTGTATCCGTCATATGCAGAATGTTCTAAACTTGCAATTTAATTTATTTTCCACAAGTTATCTTTTAGCCATTTGATCAATCCTTGACAGTTTGTGTTTTTGGAAAAATACATGAAAACCATTCCTCAGTATATTATTAATAAAATATAAAAACATGTTTCATCACATCTTTCTAATGAATCAAATTTCAACAAAAAGATAAACTCCATTAATCTATTATTTATTTAAAATAAAAAATTTATTTCAAAC